AGAATTTCAAGAAGAATTTGGAAACAATCAAAACAAAAAAACAAATGAATTAAATTCCACTATCATAATTTTAACAATTTTTTGCAGAATTTTTTTACCAAAATCAAAATCACTAAACTAGTTAATAGCAGAATATGTAGAAAAAATAAACAAGAAATGAAATTACCAAAGTAAAATAAAATAAATCAAGATTTGCTTGGATATGACTTCCTTCAGAATAATAAAATCTTATGCCACATTCAAAAGAATTACATATCCAACTAGTATTGACGAGATTGAGCGGGAAAGTAAAATTTTATTCAAGCAAAAACTTATGGCTTTCATGCCTCAATCCACTATTTATAAAGTCATCATAACCTATGTCAGCACAAGATGTCTCAATTTAGATTTAAAATAATTCTTAATTTAAAATTTTCAGGCGACTAAACATCAGCTAACCCATCCAAGAATTTTACAAGGTAGTAGCCGCTAAAAATGAACCACCCCACAAATAAGATTTTATTCCATATAGATAAGTTCCACTATTTAAATACATTTTAGGGAAAAAAGCAATTGGAACCATAAAGCCCAAAATAACTTCGAGCCGCAAGTACCAAGCAAGTTCTCTCTCCTTTGTAATGAATAGTTCAAAAGCCCAAGGAATAATAGTAAATTGATGCGGAGCAGGGGGGGCGGTAGAGCATGTGGTTGGCCCTAGGTGGGCTGGTCTTACTGCCTAAGGGGAGAGGCATCCCCTTCCTTACTTATCTTATATCATGAATAGGTCCTTTGCTTTGTTTAGAGTTAGTTTTTCCTGAGATTTTGTTTGGACAGCCACCTACATCCCCATTTTCCATTACAGGGTTATATCCAAAGACAAGAAGGTGCTCCGGCTATAACTCATCCCTAGGTGGTGTTTATCTCTCCTCTCTTGCTTATTGCCATATTCACTGCACCCCATCCATCTTGTTTCCCAGCCACTAATCCCTTTTCACCCCTGCTACTCCCACAAGCACCTAACATACACTCTTTTGGTACTCTAATCCCATCCAGAGCCTCCCAACTTTAACCCCTTCAACCACACTCCTTGCTACCGCCTCGACCACCAAACCTCTCTTTTCCAACTGCATACTCCACCGCCCAGCATTCCAGTCACTTCCTTCTCCAGCCTTCTGTCACAGGTTCTCCCGTGATCTGCTCCCCTACTGAACTGGCCAGCCGAGTGTCCTCCCTGTCCCTCCAATTGTTTACCCATATATTCCAACCACCTATTACTCCCATTACCCTCTCCACGCCACCCTGATGTCCGCCCCTCGTCGTCACGAGACATGTGTTGAGTTGTAATTTCTTTCGTGTTTGAATCTTTGATTGTAATCCCTGTTGTTGTAAGCAATAAAATTCTACTTTCCATTCGGGGTTTGTGTTAACTCCAGTATCATTTGATATCAGAGCTAGCCTAAACATAGTCTTATCCTAGGATTTCTTAGCATCCGCCTTACCCGTCCACCAAAAATTTTCATTCATATTCTAAAATCATATCTGTGATAGGGTTGGTGTAGCTCTTGGGACGGACAAAATTAGAGAAAGTCATCTTAGATGGTTTGGTTACATTAAGCGACGATCATCTGATGATCTGATTAAAAGAGTAGATGTTTTAGATTCGACTTATGTTAAGAAAGGCAAAGGTAGACCTAAAAAGACTTGGGCTTATTGTATAAAAAATGATCTTAAGTTATTAGAACTAAATGAAAATATGACACTAAATAGGACGCAATGGAGAAAAAGGATTCATATAGCCAACCACACATATTGGGATTAAGGCTTTATTGTTTGTGTTGTTGTCTATTCCCAAATCATAGCCAAAGTTTGACATAACCTTAATTTCCTAGTCCTATCCTAGGATTTCCTAGCATCCGCCTTACCCTTCCACCAAAAATTTTCTTTCTTATTCCCAAATCATAGCCAGCCTTGACCTAACCTTAATTTTCCCTTGCTAATTTTCAAAACCAACAACCCTAAATCAATTTTTACACCCACTTTCACCTCCCAACTCTAAACCCTAGCCATACAACAAAGGAGATGCATGCCCAAGCATACCCAGGAAAAGATACAACGAGAGAACCATCGACTTCAGTGGAGAGCATGCGGACATTAAGGATGACTCCCAAGAAGGACTTACCCAAAATGGTAACAGGGAAATTCGAAGAAGCAAAAGAGAGAAGAATTTCAACCCCTTCCATAGGGAGGATTTCAATGATGAAGAAGTAAGGCCACGACGCTTTGGAATCCAGTATCAGGGGAAACCAAGAGAAAAGCCCACAGATGGGGGACATAGGGACTTCGAAAAAAAGAGGATCTATTAGAGTTCAATAGAGGTATGAATCCAGATAATTTTATCGAATAGCTATAATCAATTAAGAGGATCATTGAGTACAGAGAGAAGCCAGAAGAAAAAACCTACCTCTTCACTACTGTCACGACATGTTTCTGAGACTCTACCACCTACAGCAGAGAGACCTATTAGTGGAGAGTGCACGGCGTAGTTTGACCAATTGCAGATGAAGTGTGATTTGGTCGAGCCAGAGGAACACAGCATAACTCGCTATCTAGAGAGCCTAAAGCCCCCTATTAGCAATGTGGTGCAGCTGCAACCTTATTGGTCACTTGAAGATTTCTATATCTTAACATTGAAAGTAGAAAGAGAGTAGGAACAGAGCAAGTAACCTCCACCAGTCAGGCAACCACCCATAGTTGGAGACACCAGCAGGAGCACGACTTAGGATAATGCTAGAGCCAGCCCCAGTGAAAAGATGCCTGAGAAGAGTAGCACACCTACTACAGTCCCCGCCAGAAAATGCTTCAAATGCCACGAATTTGAGCACGTTGCCTCCAGCTGCCCGCTGTCTTTTATAGAGCAGAGTGTCATAGAGGAGGTTAGCGATGAGGAGACAACTGAGGAACAGAGTGAGGTGTATGATCTCGCACCAGATGAATGTGAGATGTTCGTGGTTCGACGGGTCCTACAAACCAAGAATACAAAGATTCATGGTAGTTTCATCTCAATATATTCTACACTCATTGCATTGTGAACTGGAATATATGTAATCTCATCATCGATGGAGGGAAAAGTAAAAATGCGGTGTCTATAAATATGGTAAAGTAGTTGTGCCTTATGACTCAGAGGCACTCCCAGTCATATTCTCTAACGTGACTGAAAAAGGAAAACAGAGTCAACATTGACTGAAGGTGCCTAGTGAATTTTTCGATTGAAAGTCAGCTGCAAGATTAGGTGGTGCAACGTGGTCCTCATGGATGTCTGTCACCTTTTGTTGGGGAGACTATGACAATTTGACCGTAAAACTCAGCACGACAGATTCAGAAACACTTACTCATTCCCCAAAGAGAGGAAGTGCATCCTCCTTCCTTCGGTGGAGCCCGATATCACAGAAGCCCTTGCCAGCAAAGCAGCATCGGTGGGACTAGTTTTGGTAACAAAAATTAATGATAGAATTGACACACCAACTCGACACGAGACAGTCACGACAGAGAGCATTTCAGGGCATTACAGTCGATAACATACAATCCTGGCCACCATCGCTCGAGCAATTCACATTACTCTCATTTTTTATCAGGTTGAGCCGACGTCAACAGTATACACGTGGTACGCAGACTCAGTTCAACTGTGGACCATAAGAAGAGCGGATCGATATGGATGTATGCTCGCCAGCGGGGCAAGTCTCTCCGTTCTTTTGGGAGATAACGCAATCGACAGTCGAATTCATAGGCTGCTAGGGCCGCAATCAAAGATCCTTCAGTTCCAAGAGGTTACAACAGCTCTATCACCGACAACAGGCAGACAGAATATTTGAAGAATGAGGTCAAAGCTCCCCCAACCCCAAGAGACTGATGCGAGGCTAAGGGTGTTGAACCAGCCGATTCAGCAAGGGGTTGGCCCTAGGTGGGGCCGATTTTACAGCCTAAGGGGAAGGGTCTCCCTCTCCTTACTTTTCTACTATTATAAATAGGTCATTTACTTTATTGAGGGTTAATTTTTTCTATGGCTTCTGTTTGGACAGCCGTCACCGTCCCCTTTTCTTTTCTAGGATTGTATCAGACGACGGAAGGTACTCCGGTTGTAACTCGTCCTGAGGTGAGGTGTATCTATCCAATCATGCTTGATGCCATATTCCTTGCACCCCCACCCATCTTGTTTCCCAGCCGCTAATCCCTTGCACCCCTATTATTGCTGCAAGCATCTACCATACACCTTGTTGTTACCGTAATCACATCCAATGCCTCCACCTACAGAAGCTTTACCCCCTCCAGTTGCACTCCTTGTTGTCGCTTGCACCCCCACACCTCTCTTTTCCAACCGCATACTCCACTGTCCAGCCTTCCTGTCACTTCCTCCTCCAGCCTTCCTGTCACGGGTTCTCTTGGGATCTGCTTCCCCACTGGACTGGCCAGTCAAAATTCCCTCCCTGTCCCTCCAACCATTTAATCAAACACTCCAGCCACCTATCCTCCTCTTATCCTCTCCACGCCAACTTGTTGTTCACCCCTCACCGTCGCGAGATTTGTGTTCTGTTGTATTTTCTTTCATGTTTTGAGTCTTTGATTGTAGTCTCTATTGTTGTGAGCAATAAACTTCTATTTTCCTTTCAGGTTTGGGTTAACTCCGGTATCATAAATACTAAAGAGCACAACATCAATATAAATAACTAGCATTGCAATAAAAAAAGGAAGCAAGAAAAACTTAAAAATAGCGTTTATTTTTGTGCCTAAAGGCTCAATCTAGTAAAGCTGGTTGATCATTACAATCCAATAATATTTCACTATTATAACATCAAGAATAACAATTTAATCAGTCAATCTTTCAAATATCTTAGAAACATTTGAAACCAGCAAAGAAGGTACGAAAAGGAAAAACAAAATTAGCATGATGGTTGCATTTCTTAACAAGATTAAACCATAAAGCTTCCAAACATCAAGTAGCATACTGCCTTGATTTTTAACTGTACCAGCATTTCCAAATTGAAGAAGCGATCTAGCAACTGCAAAATCTCATCTGCTGTGAATTGCTTCTCAAAGCTGCAGGATCATTGGACTTGATTTAAAATTTATTGTGCTTGAGGGTAGTTCTGTATATATTTTGGTAACAAAAAACATCTCTTTATAAAGAGAAAAAGTATCAAAATAATCCCCAACTCTTTGCATGGGTTCATTATACCCAGAGTCTATAAAAGTGTCAATTTAGTCTCCAAAAAAATGAGCTGAAATAGTCCTCGCAAACAACTACTTCAGCCCCAATCTAAAAAGTACTGCGATTTGGTATTTTTATGGACTCTGAAATAACCCCATCTAACCAGTCAGTGGACTATTATGGTACTTTACTCTAAAAACAAAATTAATTAAGAACTAACCTTTTCCGCATATATTCCATCAGCCCATAAAGAACAAAGTGGCGATGTAAACCTATGAAAAGCAATTACCTAAATTTCTTAGTAGTATATATTAAGGAAAGGTAATCTTTTGGAGATTTAACTTTTAGAATCCAAAATAGCAAGTGCTTTAATTTACTTTTCTAAAAGCCTGCTTAGAAGCCCATATCTTCCAACATATGCATATGTTTCACTAATTAGAAAAAATAAGAATCAAATGTCAACTTCCATTCAACCAATACCCACAAGAAATTGTGTCATAGCAAACTTTATTGGATTTCAAACAAAAATAGATGCGTGGATCCTAAAGTTACGTGATCCAAATTCAGATTGCATACCTGAGATATAAAGTTTTTTTCTAATTATCCAATTATGTGTTGGAAAAAGGTAAATCCAAACAAGAACAGCTCAAAAAAGTTGACAAACCCGTGCATTAGGTTTTTTTTCAAAATAACACGATGCATATTAATAGCTCTAACCAACCAGTCAGAAAAACTTTTAAGTATCACTTACTCGCTAGTTTCACATGAAAAAAAAAATCAAATAACTTAAAAAAGGAAATATTACACCATATCTCTGGTTCTCGAGATGCTCAGGTGATGTATAATACATTGGGGGTTATATAGAACAGACAAAACATTCAACAAAAATACAAATACATATGACATGAGCTATTAAGCCAAAAAAATATATATATATTGACGTCCTTTTACTAAAAAATAATGTATATCCATTCAGATAACTGATTGATGTACTTCTACTAAAAATTGGCAAGATAATTAATCACAACAGCCGCATGCATAAATAAAATTTCAGATTACAAAAAACAATTCAGATTGTAGCAAATATGGCAAAATAATCATTTCAAACAATAACAAAAAATATAGAAAAAAGGAAGAGAATAACAAAATAAAGTAAGGGACAGAAAACATCAAAAAAAATATATGCCTTCTGCCTATACGAGAAGATAATCTCCGCCAAAATTCTATAAGATCATTACTTGACCAAGATTAGAACCTGGAAAAAAAAATTCCATACCCATAAGAAAAAATTATTATGCTGCAGAATTATTTTTTCTTGCCTGAAGTATATCTCAAATTTATAAGAACTCCTCACATGAACCTCTTGTATTGGACCAACAGCTAAAATGTTGAAAATAAAAATGAAATCTCAAAACTAACAATGTTACAACTTTATTCCTGAAACATAATCCAAGGAATAAAAACAGATAAGAAAAAACTGCAGGATGAGGTTACCCTCCAATTTCACAAATCCAGCAGACCACTAGGTTAATTCTGCAAACCCAATTACAGCATAAATAAGAGTTTCAGAAGTTCAGCATAAAAAGTCCCCAAAGTTTATTGGCCCACGCATAAGAAGGCTTATCAAACATCAACCAACAAGGTCTCAACCCAAAAAACAAATTACCCCGAAAGCCAGGCCTCAATAATTTCTTTGATCATAGTCATGCTTAGGAATTATAAAGCGTGATTCTGGCATGATTCATTTGACCTAATTACAACCGAAATGAAAATTTTGAAGCATAAAAATTGAGTTTCTGATGAAGGCTGTAGGTTTAAGCTCAGCATTTATTAACTCTTGATTGGAAAAAAATAGATTACTATAAATTATATAAAGTTCTTTAATTTCTTTAAGAGCTATCAGTAAATCGTTAAAAGTAGGTCTGTTGAACTAATGTACAATAGAGATAAAGCATCAATGGCAGCTGTTCATCATTGATAATAATTTCTGACACAAATTAGTATGATCATCTAGAGATATTGCAGATGATGTGTTGTATTGTCACAGCTCAACCCGGGTATTTTAAATTATCAAAGCAGGAACGAACAGCCGGACAAGAGAGTCACACTAGTCCAACATTTTCAACAGTCTAAAATTTTATCCAAACAATTAAGAGCCACTAAACAACAATATTTCTAGACATCTAATAACAATTTCTAGTAAGGAAATTTAATACAAGGTATAATATTTTCATAACTATTTTCATTAGCACATGTTCTAATGTAAACAAATTGTCTTATCAGTTTCATTCAAAAGAGTTTTTTTTTCTCTAATAAAC